AAATTAAAAAAATAAAAAAACGCAGGGAATTAGTAGAAACAGTCCATAATCGGTGATCAGGGAGCATCTCGCGGATCGGATCTTTTTACATGAAAACAATGGTTCCGATCGTCACGCCGTGAAGACTAGGTCGCATTGGCTCGCATAAAACGCAAATTTCTTCCGATTTCAAGACAACTCAGTTCTCTAGGGTTTGGATTTCTTAGTCCTTAATTTTCCCTCTGAAAAATGAAGTTATCTGCAGAGATTCCGTTTTGTTGTTTCAATTGGACAATTTGATCGGATATTTTTATAGTGTTGGAAAACAGCGGAAGACTCGACACCAGAAATGGCAGCTTCTCCGGTGAACTTTCTCTTTGGATTCCTCATGGTTTCCATCACATTGTGGATGGTCTTCCTGTAAGTTTGCGTGCTTAGTACTTGTCTGTTTGGATCCAATTTCGGTTTCGATCGGGTTTCGAATATGCATATCTGTTCAGTAATGCAGTTGGTTGGTGGTTTATTGATCAAACGGTGCTTTTGTTATTTCTTATTTGGGAATGAGGTGGGTTTGATTTCCAGGGGGAGAGATGAGGGAGCTGTCTGAGATAGCATTTTAGTGGTGGATTATGCTTATAAGTTTCTAGTGGCAGTTATCAATTCAGTGGGAGCAAACTAAGACATTTCTACCATTATTTCGAATGACGGTCAAGCATAACCAATATAAGTTGGTTTTGTTAACTGTAAATTTAGAAGAAATTTCAATGCCCACATCATTGTAGTTGCTGACCATGACACCCAATTAGCTTATGGCATGTACAAGCTATGTCATATAATGACCCATGTGAACTCTGAAGGATGTAAATTCATCATAAGATCTGTAATGATGTAGGATCTGATAATTCTTTCTTCACTTGAAGAGAAGAAAAAAGACTATGAATTGAATGTTGTTAGTATCATTTGATTTCTCTATGGTGTACGTCAGGACATGTGTGTATATGTGTATGCTATTGAACTCTGTATCAATATTATCAATATTGTTGCCAATCATTTTCTGAAGTTATTTGTGTCAATGATGATTGCTAGATTTATGTTATACATTTTTCAATTTTTTCTATTTCAGATTTGCATCTAGGTTGCTGGCTTGGATTCTAAGCCGGATTGTGGGAGCATCTATTGGATTTCGTTTTGGTGGATGGAAATGTTTGAAGGACATTGTGGTAAAGTTCAAAAAGGTATCATATTAGTGAAGCACCCGTCCCTAACCTTTTTTCTCTTCACATTTTCCTTTAAGAGCAAATTGTTAAAATTTTCTCCACTTTCCACCCACCCTTCCATATCTCTGGACTATTGAGTAGAACTCAAGCTTGATCTTGGTTGAGAGGATAATATGAAGCAATCAAGTAGTTAGGCTTGGTGAGTGGTGTGGACTTATTGAAAGTTGATCTGATGTCTCCTTGCACTGGTTCTTTAGGTCTAAAGTTCTTGCTTGTTGCTATTGCTAACTTTACTCGTGATAAGGGGTTCGATATGTGGTGTATTTGCTGATTACTAGATTACAAACTGAGCAGCCAATTTATCTATAGTCTCAACTCTTGTTCTAGATTTGACTTTATGTCATTCTCTTCAATCTTGTGTAATATCTTGCACAGTGCTAGTCCATGATGAACTTTAGTCTCCCTGAGTAAGTGCATCTTTCATGTGCAGTCCTTTCTTTCTGCCCCCACCATGAGATGGGTTGAAACAAATGTGTACATTTGTGAGGGGGTAATTTTGTTTTTTTGGATTTCTAACTCCTTATCTTTGGAGGGATTAGAAAAATGTAAGGTATGATTATTAAGTCTACAGCTCATACTTTTGAGTGAAACCTTCTGATATCAATTGTTAAAAAAATTCTCTTCCAAAACCCCTAAGGTTATCTAGATTCACTAGTCTGAATTTGCTTCATCCCTTGTTATCACCTCTTCCTAGTCCTTCACCCACCAGAGGCAATTTGAGACCACTGCATTCCCATTTTATGAAATGGGGTGAATGCGCACCATCTTGTTCTAATACCTGGTTAGTATTTATATCTGGCCATGATAATAATATTTTTATTGCTTGGATGCTTTACAGGGTGCTGTTGAATCTATATCAGTTGGTGAAATTAAACTCAGTTTACGTCAGTCCTTGGTCAAACTTGGGGTTGGCATTATTTCTAAGGATCCAAAGCTGCAGGTGTTAATATGTGACTTAGAAGTTGTAATGAGATCCTCTAGTAAAAGTCTGCCAAAAGATAAGTCAAGGAAGCCTCACAGTTCGGGTAGGGGCAGGGGAAAGTGGATGGTTGTAGCAAATATGGCAAGATTTTTGTCAGTTTCTATAACAGATATGGTTGTGAAGGTAATTGGCCTTGGAGCTTTTTCATTCTTTCATCTAGATGAGGATTAGCGTTGTCTTATTTTCAATATGTAATTTGTATCCATACATACTAACATACGTTCATTCATATGCATGCATACATACATACATACATGCAAGTAGACTGCAAAATCCAAGTGTGAGTGCGGTACTTAAAAGTTGGATATGGTATTCTCAGATTATCAATGTGGCAGCCATATTGTAGTTGTGATTGAAAAGGAATACACACATGTTGAGAGTTTTTACTTATTTTGGTATCATATAGGCTTTATCAGCAAGTCTGTCATGCTAGGGTAGGGCTCTATAGAATATGTTTGGACATTTACTGTTTACTTTCCATGTGAAGATTTAATATTGATCAGGCTTGTTTTCTCTTGAGACATTGCAGACACCTAAAGCTACTGTTGAAGTTAAGGAACTGAGAGTGGATATATCTAAGGATGGTGGATCAAAGCCTAGTCTCTTTTTTAAGTTAAATATTTTACCTATTTTTGTTCACATCGGTGAACAACAATTGAGTTGTGACCAGACATCCATCCTAAACAGTGGAGGATGCATTTCAACTATTCAGGCTCCATCTTCCATGACGGAAAGGCCTTCTGCACCTTTTAGCTGTGAAGAGTTTTCTCTCTCTTGTGAATTTGGCCATGATAGGTAGTTTCTTCATAACTGTTCTTTTTAGTTGCCACATCTAGCCAATTGTATTTGGTGCAAGTGTAGAGTACAAATGGCCCTTGGTGAACTATGAATGAATTCTAATTTATATATTAACTTTGTGCTCTCATCCTATGACTAACTCTGATGTCCATTTCTTTTCCAAAACATGTGTCTCTTGTCTTTGCTTACATGATGGAAATGTTTTCTTTATTATACTAAAAGCTAACCTCTTTATTTCCCTTGGATCCAGGGAAGCAGGGCTAGCTATCCAAAATGTGGACATTAACTGTGGAGAGATCTCTCTTTGCCTCAATGAGGAGCTGCTTTTAAAGAAAAAAAAATCCTCAGATGTTTCTTCTCAGACAGATAAAATGGGGTCAACTGTCAATTCTGCAGCTGTTAATAACCCTCAAAAGAATCAAGCAGCTGTTTTAGCATTGTCAAAATATACTTCTTTGTTCCCAGAAAAGGTTTGTGACTTCATGTTTCTTATATGCAATGGATATGCTTTGCTATATATTTCCTGTCTTTTTCTTTATTATTTCATAAATGAAGTAACTTTCTTTTCATTTTTTTTTAAATTTCATTGTTTGATTAGAACTTATAAGATTAAGAAACATATGCATGGAACATTTCCTTTCATTAGAATATGGAAATTTTGTTACTGGGGCTTGGTCATGATTGTGCTTTCTCCTTATCTATTCTAATTGTGAAATTGTTGAATTAGTAGATTGAGTAGTACAGAGGAAAAACTTGCACAATTTAACTAACTAAGTAGATTTAGTTTAGTATTGATCAGCCCAAAAAATCAATTAAAAGGTATACTCAGAACTGAGGTAGCTACTAGGAGTTCTGGCGGGGAGGTGCATATTGAAATTTTACACACCTAAAGCAAATGATGATCAAGGATGGTTTTAGAAGCTCCATTTTCTCATGTTAATTGGTGGGAAATGGGAATAAAAAAGTGTGATTTAGGGCAAACCTTTAAAGATATCAAATTCATGGTGTTATCTTCAGGCAGTAAATCTATTCTTCTTGAACAGACTACCTTTTGCATTTGAGAGCTAACCTTCATAGATATCAAATTAATGATGGTAACTTTTTTGCATTAAATCTATTTTCTTGAATCAACTGACTATGATATGTATTTTTAAAGTGGAAAAGAGCAGCTAGTTTGTTGTGTTAGATTATCACGTGTGTCTACTTTTTCTTTGTTTCATTAAGTTTTTTCATGCATCACTTCTACTTGATGAGACTATTCAAATTAAGGGTGTTTTTAGTGTAGTGAAACCATTGCCTTAGTTAATCATGTAGCAGATGGATGACTTCAGATATTCTGTCTTCATTTCTGTCCTTTTAACCCATAACCAGGCACTGTGTTTTCCTGGTTCTAATCACAATTCAATGGAACCAATAAAAAAACTCCTGCAGTATATGAGATTGTGATTTACATTGTGTTCCAACATGGAGAAACTATCTCTTGATTGTATTTGATTGAAATGCATGATGTGTAATTTCATGCTTGCAAGCTGCCCAGACTGTTATTGACTGTTGGAAAGGTTTACTTCTTTTTTTTCAGATTTGCTTCAACTTACCAAAGCTCAATTTGGAGTTTACGCATCGTGAACTTGATATTGTTGTTGAGAGTAATATCATGGGCATTCAATTGAAAACCATCAAGTCACGATCAAGTGAAGATGGTGGGGAGAGCACACGCCTTGATGTTCAGTTGGATTTCAGTGAGATACATGTATGGTTGTGATTATTAATGTCATTATTACAGCTATGTTAGTGTTTTAAGTTTATTTTTCTTTTTTCTTTTTTTTTGGGTACATTTGATAATGATGGACTGTACAAGAGGGGATAGCCCTCCCCTTTCCCTAAATCCCTCCCCACCTGACTCAAGGTTTGAACTTGAGATCTCCAACTTGAAATCTCAAGCTCTTAACCATTGAACCACCCCCTTGGGGTAGTGTTTTAAGTTTCATAACGATCATGCAGATAGTTGTTTTCTTCTCTAAGTGTTTCTTTTTGTTTTTCAGTTCCTCAGAGAAGCTGGCACTTCTATCATAGAGATACTGAAAGTTGATGTCTTTTCTTTTGTGTACATTCCAACACAGGTGAATCCTTGCAGCTTGATGTCTTTGTAAAGTTGGTACTTTTATTGGTTTATGTTACTACTTTTTAACCTACACTTGATAGCATGATGTAAATTAAATTACCTCATTCTGTTGTTAGTTATTACACTGCTTACCTGCTTTTGCTAAGTAATATTAGATGCATTAGCTTTTGATGTTGATCAGGGTTCCAGCATGCAGCTTAAAACAAATAAAACTAGTGGCTGTTGATGTATCATACATTTTGGGGGTTTAAATTCAATCTTGGGGGTGGGAGTTTCCTTTCTGCCTGGATACCAGGGGTTATCTTTGGTGCATGTTCTCAATTTCTTCAATTTGGATCACAGTTCGTGAAGATCATCTCTGCTACTGGGAAAGAACAATAGGTGGTAGAGTGACCTTGGTCAATTTCAATTTAACTGGTTTCTTCATCTTCTATCTTTCTGGTTCAACTAGGGACAAGGTGATTTAAAACTTGGATGGACTGTTTTGAGTCTTGGTCCTTTGTTGATTATGAAGAGGAGTAATGTAATTTCTAACTAATTGAGAGGGTTCTGTTCTCTGTTTATAATGTGCACTGTATCACCTCACTAGGGAAACTCCACCTAGCCAAAGCCTTTTTCATTCTAAAAGCACAAAACTCTGACTGCCCCCTCCCCACCCTTTATGTTGCTCAAAAAAATTGTTATCCTAGTTTGATTTCCTACTAAGTTATTTTTCTTTTTGTTTATATATAGAGTAGGGATTCACTTACACACAAGTCTTACACTTACACAAAATCTCAATCATTCATCTCTCCACTTTTAGTGGTTGAGATTCACATTTATTAAAGATAATTATTGTTTTTATCTAAAAAAGTTGTGATAAATCTCAACCATTGAAAGTGGAAAGATAAATGGTTAAAATTTTGTGTTAGTGTGGTGTGTAAGACTTGTGTGTAAGTGGATCCCTCCTCATGTATATATATACATATACATATATTTATATATATAGATATAGGTAATAGTGTCCATCTACCTTACTTTCTAAAAATTAGAAGGAAAATTATTTAAAAATTACATTGTTTCAATAAACTTATTGAAAAAGACTAAAATACCCTATTTGAGTACGGTGAATTAGGCTGTTTTTGGTTTTTTTTTTTTTTTTGTGATACTTAATTAAAATGATGTAATTTTAGAATAATTTCTGTTCTAATTTTTAAGACGTAAGGTAGATAAACACTAACCCCATAGATAGAGAGATAGATAGAAATGTGTTTATCTGTACAGACTGCCCTTTTTTTGTGCAATATGGGTAGTGGAATTACCAAAACACCATTAATGAATTAGCATGGAGGGGAGTTGTTTTAAGGATATTTTGAGAATTTCAGTACTTGAACTGCACAAAAAAGTTGCAGTTCATATTGAAAAACACACACACACAAACACACACATATATGAGGAGGGATATTACACTTATACAAAATGTCAACTATTTATCTCCCTACTTTCAATGATTGAGATTTATTCATATTTATTAAAGATAATTATTTTTTTATCTAAAACTTCATGATAAATCTTAACGATTGAAAGTGAAGAGATGAATGGTCAAGATTTCGTGTAAGTGTAACATGTAAGATTTGTGTGTAAATGGATTTGTCCTATATATATATGTGTATGTATATATATATTTGAAACGTTTACTATTCTAATACTTTCTAAGGAGTTTTTGCACTTTTGTTGGCATGGAGTTGTAACAAGTTTTTAACTTATATTTGCATTGTTTTCAGCCAATCTCACCTATTAGAGCTGAAATTGATGTTAAGCTCGGGGGCACCCAATGCAACATTATTATTAGCAGATTAGAGCCATGGTTGTGCATGCAATCGTCAAAAAAGAAGAGCATGGTGCTTCAAGAAGAAGCTTCTACAATCGAAAAGCCAAAGTCTTCTGAATCTAAAGCCTTCATGTGGACATGTAATGTCTCAGCTCCTGAGATGACAATCATGCTTTACAGTATCAATGGTTTGCCTCTGTATCATGTAAGTAATATGCCTGTCAAATTATTCATGTTAATTGTATTGGCTATTCTGTGTTAGCTTCTGCTAATGCTTCATAATACTACTACTACTACAGGATTTCTTGTATTCTCAGCACATATGATCATTTAGTAATTGTTTGCCACCAGAACATAATTGGAAATGTGGATGAGTATTTTTGTGGAATTCTTCCATGCTACTTGTATTTTAGTAGCTTTTAATCTTATCATCTACTCCCTCTCAATTAACTGTGCCGTTGACTTTTTGCATGCAATTTTAGGTTATGATTTTATATAGCATATGAACTGCAAATAATTTTTTTTATATCAAATGAAATTATTCAACAAGAATTATCTATAAAGTAAAAATTAAAAAAAAAAAGAAAAAGAAAAAATTCAATTGTAAGTCATATGCTATATAAATGCATCACCTATACATGCAAAAAGCCAATGGGACAGTTAACTTGGGACGGAGGGAGTATTAAGTTTCTTGTGGAGGATAATAATAAAGATTTTTGACATTATTCAACTAATATATTACTTTTGATGGATTGGAGAGTGCTTATGTAAGGAACTATCATTTTTTTATTACTACTAGTCCATGTAATAAAATAGACACCATGTTTGACCCATATTTTAGGCTTTTACCACTCTGTGGATAGACTAGTATAAAATTGCAAGTTGCTTTTAACAAAGCTAAAAGTAAACTGGTTTGTCGGTGGACCATGCTAGAGGGAGAGTAACAATGTTTATCCTATTACTTATATGCATATTGCATAATTTTGGGCTTGAGATTGTCTTGGCATGTACATGTTGGAGGAACTATGAATTCCATGTCAATCTTTTTTGTTGTGTTTAAAGTACAATGATTTTGTATTCTGTCTTTTTCTTTTTCTTCTTCTTCTTCTTCTTCTTCTTCTTTTTGGGTATTGTTCTAATTCTATCTCTAAATTCATGATTCTACTTAGTTACCCAGTTTGAGTGTCTTCATATGTTAATATATGATAAATGTATAACTAATGCACCTTTTAATGTCTGGTTTCCTAATGCAGGGTTGCTCACAATCATCACATGTTTATGCCAACAACATTTCAAGTGCAGGAACCACAGTACATATGGAACTTGGTGAACTAAATTTGTACATGGCAGATGAATATCAAGAATGCCCAAAAGAAAGCCTTTTCAGAGTGGAATCAAATTCGGGTTCCTTATTGCATGTAGCTAAGGTTAGTCTTGACTGGGGCAAAAAGGACATGGATTCGTCTGATGACGCTATTAATAAATGTAAATTAGCACTCTCTGTTGATGTGACTGGAATGGGGATTTACTTTACTTTTAAACGTGTTGAATCACTGATAGTAACAGCTATGTCCTTTCAAGCACTGTTGAAACCTTTGTCTGCCAGCAAAAAATCAACACAGAACCGGGCAGGGCATGCCTCAAAATCGTCAGGGAAGGGGACTCGGCTCTTAAAATTTAATCTTGAACGATGTTCCATCAACTTTTGTGGTGACACTTGCTTGGAAAACACAGTTGTTGCAGATCCTAAGCGTGTAAACTATGGGTCTCAAGGTGGTCGAGTTATTATTAGTGTCTCAGCTGATGGTACGCCGCGTTATGCAAACATAATGTCCACTGTTTCTGATGAATGTAAAAGGTTGAAATACTTGGTTTCTCTTGACATCTTTCACTTTAGTTTGTGTGTGAACAAAGAGAAACAGTCCACACAGCTGGAACTTGAAAGAGCCAGATCTATCTATCAAGAATATCTAGAGGAAGATAGGCCTTGTAAAAAGGTGGCATTGTTTGACATTCAGAATGCAAAGTTTGTACAACGCTCTGGTGGTCATAAGGAGATAGCTGTCTGCTCTCTTTTCAGTGCTACCAATATCACTGTCAGATGGGAGCCTGATGTGCATCTATCTTTGTTTGAACTTGGTCTGCGACTGAAATTACTTGTTCATAATCTGAAGCTTGAGGGACTTGGTAAGAAACAGATGGATGAACTCTCCTGCATACAAGAAGAACCAAAGAAAGAATCTACTATGTTAGAATCTGGTAATTTTGAAAAACACAAGAAAAAGGAATCCATATTTGCTGTAGATGTGGAGATGCTGACTATTTCTGCTGAGGTTGGAGATGGAGTTGAGGCAATGGTTCAGGTTCAATCAATTTTCTCTGAGAATGCTCGTATTGGGGTGCTTCTTGAAGGATTGATGCTTAGTTTTTGTGGAGCACAGATATTCAAAAGCAGCCGTATGCAAATTTCCCGCATTCCTAGCACGTCTAGCAGCTCATCTGATGCAAAAGGAGCAGCAGGCACAATATGGGATTGGCGGGTTCAAGCACTTGATGTTCATATCTGTATGCCGTATAGGCTGCAGCTGCGTGCCATTGATGATGCTATTGAGGAGATGTTGCGAGCTTTGAAGCTTGTAACTGCTGCTCAGGCTAAACTTATATTTCCCATGAAGAAAGAGAGCTCTAAAATGAAAAAGCCTAATTCAATGAAATTTGGACGAGTGAGGTTTTGTATACGCAAGTTGACTGCTGATATTGAGGAAGAACCAATGCAGGGTTGGCTTGATGAACATTATCAGCTGATGAAGAATGAGGCATGTGAGTTAGCTGTCAGACTAAAACTTCTTGATGGTTTTTTTTCAGCCAACCAATGTCCTAAAATAGATGAAGCAATTGATTCCACTTGTGAAAGAAAGGTTCTCTATGATGGCATTGATATGGATGTTCAAGATCCTTCAGCTATTCAGAAATTGAAAGAAGATATTTATAGACAGTCTTTTCGGTCATATTACCAGGCATGCCAAAAATTGGTAGAATCAGAAGGTTCAGGTGCTTGTAGAGAAGGATTTCAGGCTGGTTTCAAGCCAAGTACAGCAAGAACTTCACTTCTCTCTGTTTCTGCTACAGATTTTGATCTGACCTTGACAAGGATTGATGGTGGAGAAGATGGGATGATAGAGGTTGTAAAGAAGCTTGATCCTGTTGCTCGTAACAATGATATACCATTTTCTCGTTTATATGGGAGCAATATTCTTTTGAATACTGGCACTCTGGCTGTTTTATTAAGAAATTACACATTTCCCCTTTTCTCTGCAACTTGTGGTAAATGTGAAGGCCGTGTTGTGCTAGCACAGCAGGTAAGTTCAAAGCTAATCTCACCTCCCCTCTCCCTTGTTTTTATAACTTATGTCTGTTAATTTGCTGTGTAAGTTTTTTTGTTCTTTTTTTTTTTTCCTTCTTAACTTGTTGCCAGCACAAATTAAGTTCCAAGAAATATAAAATTGTTTTCTTTAACTTCTCTTTTCCAGAAAAGATAATCTATCCCTTAATAGTGAAACTTATGGATCTTGTAAACTCATTTTAGTCTGCATGCTATCCAAAAAGAGAATTATATCTGTTAGCTTAGTAGTTTGATGTCCTTAAAGCCTTTGCACAGACTAACAGGTTATGTTAGAAACACTTGGCCTAAAAGTCTCAACAAGTTTAATTGCTTTTATTTACATAAAAATAAGATGACTTTTGTATTTAGATAATCCAATTTTAATGAAACTTATCATGTCCAGCAGGCATTTTATGTGGTGGAG